AATGTTGTTAAATGACAACTATTTCACATTTGGGAAACGATCTGTCTTCAGTGGAGGATATTTAGTCGGTTTGGTGGAGAGGATGCCATTATTTTGTCATTGGTGGTCAGCCTTACAATGTTTTCTTAATTTTTTTGTTCCTTTCACTCTCCCGTATCTAGAGAAATTACAACCAAGATACTTCAATCAAGTACTTAATCAGAATAGTTATCAGATTTGTGTGTGTGTGTGTTTCTTTTTTCTTTTTATAAAAATTCTATAATCACAAATTGAGTTTCCACTGTGCTATTGAACAGAACTGAGAATAATAATTTATCTGTGTTTCTATCAAAGCCTGATACAATGAAGGAGATGATTCTACTGTATTGTATTAATATTGTCTGCAAAACTTGATATATGTAATTAAAAGACAATGTTTTTAATAATTTGCATTTCCATAACTTTGCCAGTACAACAATTTTACAATGTTTTTTCCTTCACGCTCTAGTAATCAGAGAATTTATGACTTAAGATGCTTCAACCAAGTAGTTACCAGAATAGTAATCAGATCTCTTTTTCATTTATCCATTTTTACAATTCAAAAATTCAGAAATCTGGGATTTTCCGCTGTGCTATTGAACAAAACTGAGAATGAAAGATTATCAGTGTGTGTCTCAAACTGCTATACAAACTTCTACACAAATGACCTCAAAAAAGCGTCTATTTTTTGGAAAAGCATCTTAAACATAGCTGAATCCTTGCACAGCCCAATGTTTTTATTCCTCACTTTGTTGTCCAAAACAACCCGGCCCATTCACCCTTTGAAATCCCCCAGAAGCCCTTTCTTCTTTCCTCCATTGTTTTCAGAATAATTCTCATTCTGTGCCTTCTCCCAGCGGTTGTTAATGGGGCCTGATTGGAGCCAGTGCAGCCCGTATAGAGGAGCTCCCTGGTGGATCAATGCCTCTAAATGATGTGTTCAAGGGTCCCTTTTAAAAGTGCGTTCAAACCAGCTCTGATAGCTCGACCAAGCATGAAGCTGCTCATTTCACATCTAGCTTACTTCCTTATTTGCCCACTGGGACCCCTATAGCATTCATCTTTGAGACTCGGAGTTTAAATTGTCCCTGTTAAACCCCAAACATCTTTATCCTGTAATCAATTACCACCAAGGTGAAAGAAGACGATAAATTTGTGTAAAATCTATGCTTCGGAGACCGTCTTTCTTGTTTACGCCTTATTTGATCCAAGATGTTTTCCGCCATTTTGAATTTTGGAGATACAAGATTTAATAATGTGCGCGCGGCAAGCTACATTTGATGCTAAATTGATCGTGCAATGTTAATGACAGTAGAGGGAGAAACAAAGGCATTACAGTGTACACCATGTCGAACAGCTTCGAAAATGAAACAAAAAGATGATCAAGTTGTACCCCCAGGACGCATTATTTATGGAAAAGAGGTACATAATATATCACTAACATCAAATATTTAGGTTTCATTGTTGTGTTTGGATGTAATGGTGAAATTATACATGATGTTGCTAATGTATTCAAATGAGATTCTTGTGGTTACATTGTTGGGAATTGTTGTCAGATATAATGTTGTTAATTTGTGTGATGTTTAAATCAGTTCTGTGAAGTGAGTGTTACATTTATTTGCAGATTTCTGGTACGTTTCAGTGTAAAAAAAAAAAAATAAACAATCGAGTTGTTATATATAAAATACTAAGCCAATATATGGTAATAAATAGGGGAACCTTGCTGGCTCACAAAACCAACATTCAAATCCTGCTTGCGACTATTGCTTCAGGCATCATCTATCTTTATTTGTACAGGATTCCTCCATGGAAACAAAACACACATGTAATATATGTTTTATTTTTATGAAGATATATTGGTGGATAGAATGTGATGCGTCCTACTCCCAGATGGGGGCAAGAGCCAGTTTTTCCTATTGATTACATTGTACCTTGCCATGAAATATCAGCAAGGTAAATTCCCAAATATGCAACCAGATCATTTTTATTACTGACTAGACCCAAGACCCTTCTGTATTACAACAAAAATCTGCAGTTGAACAGTATTCATTTTATCTGCCCCCTTCTGTATTACAAATGTTGACCTATAGAATGAAACCCAGCGATAGTGGTCTTTTATTCTTTTACACTACGTGCATCTGTCTGGTGGACTGTTCAGGATTTACTGTGGTGACACAATGCACACAAGAACTGATGCAAGACAGTCTGAAAACTCAAGAATAAATGGATTTAAAAAACACATTTTCAGGAGAATGTGATGAGTAGAAGTGTTCACAGTCCTGTTTTGGTGTTTGATTTTCCACAGAAAAGTGAGAGTGACTAACTGAAACTGAACTGTTGGCGAATGCTCTAGCTTGTGTCTGTAATGATATATGAGGGGGACCTGTTCAACAGCACAAGTCATCTCACCTGCTGTAGTTCCATCTAAGTCAGTTCTTCGTGGTCAGGTTGTGTTAAAATAAGGCTTAGATTAAAGTCTAACTTGAGTAACAGAGGTTCAAACACAGCAGTGCCTACAGTTAGCATCACACCTCACAATACACAACCAATAGGAACACACTTAAGTAAGTAATGTTTTATTTATATAGCGCTTTTCACAGACATATGTCACAAAGACGCTTTACAGATTCATTCAGTCCATACCCAGTGGTGATAAGATACTATTGTAGCCACAGCTGCCCTGGGGAAGACTGACAGAAGAGCGACTGCCATGCCAATCAGTGCCATCGGTCCCTCTGACCACCACCATCACTCACGCACACACCACTTTCATACTAGGCATTTCTGACATTTTGTTGAATAAGAAAAGTTAGTCATGTATTCAGCATTTAACCCACAACCTCTGAATCTGAGAAGAGTCACAGACATGTATTTATCACTTTCCAAATGTTTTCATATCGACATAGCTACGCATGCTTTATATCTGTTGCAAACATATCCATGAAAAATGTGGGCTGTTGCTTTAACAATTTAAACACACAATATTTAATCTTTTAAATGGGGAAAAAGTCAAAATGTTCCATGTAACAGGAAGCTGCAACCTAGAAATATAATTGCTTTATTGCATTAGATGGCCTCGGTTCTTATTTTAGAAAGGCCAGAAAAGAAAAACACTGAAAATGCGCATCCTGCTTTTAATTTGAATTATAGGTCAATATGCTATGACAAGATTATTCAACTTATTACAGTGAGTGCAGTGGAAATATTCACCACAGACAGACAAGGGCCGTCTCTGTATTTAGAAATGAGCCATTTCTAAGATGATTTTTGACATCCGATGATTTGTTTATACGAAAAATATGAACCCAAATAATCTCCAGTGTGAGTCAGCTGCAGATAGGAGCCGCTCTGGAGCAGCAACATAAACAGAAGTAGTTCATCATATGGGACACGCTGCCATATGCTATGCCAACTCGCTTTAAAGTTCATATTATGCATTTCCGTATGTACTCCTATAGATCCCCTGCATCTTAGATTTGTCCCTGAAGGGCCACTGTAGCGAGGGGCACGACATGCTCTTTATTATACATGCACTTCTGCTATTTCTGTAACCTCTGACCTATTTCTATTCATCCAGTCAGTGATCTGCGTACGGTTAAGTGGAGTCTAACCACAAGGCACGACCCAGATATCCTCAGGACCACACAGAAGCCTTCAGCACAGGGAAGCCATTGATTCTTGTGTGTATGAAATCAGTAAAGAAAGCGCTGGCGGGTGTTGTGTTAGTCTATTGTAGTGGCTCAGGTGGCTCAGAGCAGTTTGTTTGGCTGGAGAATGGTCTGAAGAGGCCCGGAGCTACACTGTGGTTGAGCGGTGAACACTGGAGTCTGGTCTGGGGCCCCATGTGCACCAGGCTTTCACATAGATCAGTGTTCATAATCAAAGCTCCCAAACTGGCTGTCTAAGTGTGGTTTGACTTATGCGCTGCAATCATATAGAAATGTAATCCATCATACATATTCAGTGTCCCTCTCGAATCACTAAACTCTTCTTGTTGTTCGCTTTCTCTGATTGCATGCATATTTACACAGCAAAAAGCAATATCTAGGTAAGTTAAAATGGCTTAAATTGAGAACATTTTGCTTTATCTGAGTAGATTCAATTTGAAAAGTAAAATGATCTACCAAAGGAATAAATGTGTTTTCCTTAATTCAATCACCATTCGATTTTGTTTCTTTTTTTAAGTGCAAAGAGTCGTTGTTTTTCTTATTTTAAAGGTGCACTGTGTAACTTTTCTGGTGCAGGGTCAGTCATCTGCTTCTCTCCATGGAGATATTGCCTGGAATGTTCCACAGTATGGCATTACACTTTTTATCAGCAGGTGACACCACAGGTCCAAGGCACCACAGAGCCAAGTTACATGTCAGAGGCAAGCCCAATCACAGTATTTCTGACTGCAAGCTTTTAGGTCAATAAAAAACCCATGTTACTGAGTAAATACCGGGACATTCCATACAAAACAATAACATCTCCATGGAGACCTTCCACTAGAAAAGTTACACAGTGCAGTATGATGTATTTTCATATTTTAAGAACAAAAAGTCTTATTCCACTGGTTGATCATTTTACTTGTCAAGTGAAATTTACTCAAATCATGATAAAATGTTTTTAAGTCAAGTCAATCTGCCATCTGCTTGTCTCCATGGTGATGTTCTTGCTTTGTCTGGTGTGTTAAACAGTACAGCATTAAACAAATATATTGTATTTATTCAATTACAGGTGATTTATTTCTCAAAACTATCGCAAAAACATTATTATTGTTATTATAGTGAGCAGGTCCACTTCTCCACAGATCTGACCTGTAATCTGTCCTGGTGATGTGGCCTGCTTGTCTCCATGGGGATAGTTAAATTAAATACCATACTGTAGATCATTTCATGGAATGGAAGTGGTGAACCGTCTACCAGAAAAGTTACACAGTGCACCTTTAACGTTTTTTCAGTGTAGACCTAAATCTGACTGAGTCCCTCTTGTGTCCGCAGGTTCTGGCATGGCGAGTACAGAGTCTCGGTCAACATAAACGACTATCTGGACATCTACTGTCCCTTCTACGATGGTCCGCCCTCTCATGGCCGTATGGAGCGTTACATCCTGTTCATGGTGAATCACGAGGGCTACACCACCTGCCAGCACCGCATGAGGGGCTTCAAACGCTGGGAGTGTAACAGGCCCAGTGGTCCTGATGGGCCCCTGCGCTTCTCCGAGAAGTTTCAGCTCTTCACCCCCTTCTCCCTGGGCTTTGAGTTCAGGCCTGGGCACGAGTACTACTACATCTGTACGTGTAATTCTGTGTACTCACTACTCACTACTTTGTGTACTGTTGTGTATTCCGTGTTTGTGTACTGCAGAGGAGTGCGTGTGTTTACATGAGAGTCATTCTTCCTTCTGTAAACGTTATGTAAATATGTAATCAGGCCGGATGATTGGGAGAGTCCTGTTCTGCAGCCCACAAAAAAGATTGTCAGAAGTAAACTCTCGCACTCTTTCTCGCTCCTCTCTCTTTCCACTCCTCTCTCACTCTCTCCTCCTTTCTCTCCTCTCTCTCTTTTCTCTCTCTCTCTCTCTGCTGTCTCTCTTCCCTCTTTCTTCTCTCCTCTCTCTGCTGTCTCCTCTTTCTCCTCCTCTCTCGCTCTTTCTCTCCTCTTCCCTCTCCCCTCTCTCTCATATCGGCCCCTTTATTCCCCATATTTCCTGTTCCTGTGCCTCGCTCATAAACGCCTCGCTCAGCAAAGTGGTAAAAGTGACACCAGGCGGCGTGTGTAATCATTTTGATATTAGCTCTATCGATGTTTCTCCTCTTTCAACAGGTGATGTATTAGTATCACAGACAGTGATGCTCTGGAGGCTGCTCCTCGGAGCACATTTAAGAAGCATCATTGGCCCAAAAGCCGGGGGACAAACACAGGCTCACATTACTCTTAAATATTGCTCTGAGCTGCTTCACACAGAGAAATCACCACATCTACAGTTTAGGGTCTGTCGTAAATTGACTTTCAGAAGCTAAATTGACAATGTCCAAACTTTCCATGCAGACAAATAATGCTACTGATACTACTGGCATCGGTATCGACCATCGATCTAGGCATGTTTAGAGGATCACTTTAGATGAGATTTGGTGAATAGATCGGGCTGATATGGTGAATAGAGTCTTCTGCCTGGAGCTGTCATTACTAACATTGCAGCTAAAGCCCAGAGCAGCTTAAATACAGACTGAGGAGGCTCTAAAGCCGTTAAAACCATTATCAGTGACAGAGATAGTGTTTGTTTTCAAGGTTCAGTGGTGACTTTATTCATTCATTCATTCACATACACATATCTGCATCTAGATAAGTGACAGCAACAGTGCATAGTGCAGGCTAAAAGAACTAAAAGCCCATTAAACAGAGTGAATTAAAAACAAGAATACAAATGTGCCATATGTGCAAAGGGAGTATGAATAAGATAAATATTATAAAATCACTTATTCTGGGCACTTATGGCTGCTGGAACAATGGTGCTTTTGTAGCACTTGGCTTTGTTTGTTTTGTTTGGTTTTTCGAGGCTCTTTAAACCTCCGTCCTGATGGGAGGATATAGTCATCTTTTAAAATGGCCCCTACCGCCTCTGTACCTGCCTTGAGTGGAAAGACGCAGGATAAAGCTGAGACTCTCTGATTGCTGTCTGCTGAGTCTGAAGAGTGAAAACCAAACTTTGGACCAATCGATGTAGATGGAGGAGCAAAGCCAAATGCAAAAAGTTGTTTATATATGTTAAGTAGCCATGTGCCTCAGCAGGATTCTCTTCTTTTTACAAGCCTCAGACATAAATAATACGATGAAAAATGCTGCTTTTAGAAACAGAGGCTCAAACATCATCTAATGTCTGGCACTATGTCCTGAAGCTACTGCACTGTGGAAGAGTTTAATCCATTATTTTACAATACTTTAACAAATTATTAGGCTAGTTTTAAAGCTGCACTATGTAACATTTTGGATGGGGGTTCAGCACCTGCTTGTTTCTATGGATATGTCCTGGAATGTTCCACAGTATGACTTTAAACAGCTCTACCTTACATGGATTAAATTACAGGTGGTTTTATAGCTCAAAAATACCTAGAAAAACATACATTCTGACTGTGAGCGGGGTCGCCTCTCCATAGATGTGACTTGTAACTCGGTCTGGTTTGGTCTCCATGAAGACTGAAAGGTTTAATGCCATACTGTGGAACATTCCAGACAAAGCATTTGGAGAAAAGCATGATGGCCTCTCCCCCAGAAATTTACACAATGCACCTTTAAGCAGGCCTTATTACATCTTGTAATAATTTCATTCAACTGTATCTAAATTCACCATGTAATTCTTAATCATTTATAAAAGCACCGCCCTAAATTGTGTAAATAAAATAATACAAATTAAAAGATCAGGGGATGAGATCAGCATCAGATCACTATCAGCAATTGCCAACATTAAAAAGTCTACATCAGATCGTGAGCCAAAAAAACTGGATCAGGACATCTCTGCAGACGAGTACTACTTTGGTGGCATTGTTAGAAAGCATTTGTGAGTGTGGCCTATATGATATGTACAGTATGGCACAGCTGGGAGCATATGTACTGGGCTAATTAACAAAGTGCAGTCTGTTCTATTGTAGGGGACACTAAAGACCTGCTCTTGAACCTGTAATTGCTTCATTGGTCTTGTCATGTGGGTCTCGAGGCCACTACTGAATAATGAGACACGCAGCTAATGTTTTTACAGTACAGTCAGGGGACCATGTGACACATTATCGTAAGCCTGTATGCATTTACTATTCACTTTCTGTTAGATCCAGAATACAGTGAGCTACATTATCATTATTATTACAGGATTCTGTATATTTCTATCTGATGCCTTTGAACAAGGATTTTTTATTTTTTTTTGCTTTGCTTTACATTTAATACAATTTTTATTCAATTATCCTATTATTATGTTATTAGGTTCTTTTTACATACCAAGAGTTTGTTTTCATACCTGACAGTTTGGACTGCTCACTAGGTATGAAAACAAACTCTTGGTCTGAAAAAAGAACCAAATAACATAAAATATCAGAAGACAAAATGAATCTCATTGGACTATTATCCTATTATTGTTAAAGGTGCATGTGTACCTTTTCTGGTGGAGGGTCCATCAAATGCTTTTGTTCATTGAGATATTGTTGCTTTATCTGGAATGCTACACAGTATGGTATTAAACCTTTCTATCTTCATGAAAACCAAACCAGACCAAGTTACAGGTCAGCTCTCTGGAGAGGCAACCCCGCTCACAGTCAGAATAACTGTTGTTTTAGGTATTTTTTTAACAATAAAACCACCTATAATTGAGTAAATGAAATAATAAATCTGTTTAATGTCTAAGCAGAGCAGTGACATATCCACAGGAACAAGAAGGTGACAAACCCCCAACTGAAAAGTTACACAGTGCACCTTTAAGTCTGCCAAAAGCCTGTTTCTATGGAGATGTTATTGCTCCGCCTGGAATTTTGACTTGCAAAAATAAATAAATAAATAAATAAAAAAATGCATGCATTATAGATTTGACCTGAATCTGATATCCATGGAAACATCTCCATGGATACATAAAGGTGGCAGCCTGCTCCACTAGAAATGTTACACAGTGCACCTTTAGAAGTCACAGAGCAAAATGTTAAAAATGCTTTAACAACAATTTCTGTTCCAGTCCTGTAGAAGGATATGAAATAATCTATTATTTATAAAGCCTGTGACAATGCTTCCAGTACAATTACCCTCAATTTTAGATTATTACATAATTATGATTGACTTTTCTTTGCATACTCCACAAATTGAAATCCATATCACGCCCCATTTTTATTTCTGTTATCTCTGACTACTGGCACACTGCACGGGCGTGGGTTACACTGTCTGCACTCGAAGATAAAACAACTTCTTCAGAAATGCCAGCGCACAAAGCCACAGCGGGCGAGGATCTGTGGCTAAAGAGTCCTCGATATCTCAGCTAAGATGTCCTACTGCCCCGCTCTGAGTTCAGCTTTTGTCCGGAGCTTCATGTATGTAGACGCAGACAGGGCCCCATCCAACTGTATAGCTGCTGAGTGTTAGCATTGTGTCAGCGGGACCCCCGGGGATACTGTAGTGAAAGTATACGCCGATGTGTATGTGTGTGTACGAAAGGGGGAGGGGAAAGGGGGAGAGGGGGAGGAGGTTTTTGGGGTCAGTTGTCAAGCGATTGTGAGTCCGTGAAAAGGCCATGTCTATCAATTTGATGGACAGGGATAGCTCTGGCTCTGGCGTTTCCCATGTCCAAACACACACACGCACATACACACACACATGTTAGACACGCACACACACACACATATGTTAGACGCACACAGTTTGTACATGTGTGAAAGCAGAGTTGCAGTGTTGACAGGTCTGGACCATGTGTTAGTCTGAGAGTGTCTATAGTGAATACTCAAACTGCTGATTGATCTCAGTAGGTGTTTTTCGAGAAATATTGTTGGAAAAAAAGTTTGGAGGAGTGAAAATCTTACAAATAGAGCCATGAAAAATGGAATAGTTTCAGATCTGAACAAAAATACTTCTGATTGTGAGATAGGGATATTAAAGGAAATGCAAACTCCAGCCATAAGGGGTCAGTAAAGAGACAAGACTAGTTTAGTTGATTGAGAAATAAGAAATTGTCATATTGTCAACATGTAACTTAATAAACATATATATTTTTATTTTTTTTGTATTTGGAACTACTTTAAAGGTGCACTGTGTAACTTTTATGGTTGAGATCATCACCTACTTGTCGCCAAGGAGACATTATTGCTTAAAGAATGTTCCAGAATATGGTATTAAACATATCTACTATATCTAGCAGTCATTTATTGTTTTTATTGCTCAAAAATGCCTTGAAAATCTGCATTCTTACTGTGAGTGGGGTTGCCTGGTCGCAGATCTGACCTGTAACTCCGGCCTGGTTGTGCCACGTGCTTGTTTTCATGGAGATGGATAAAGTTAAAGCCATACTGCGGAACTTTCTTGGCAAAGCAATGACATTTCCTTGGAGACAGTCAGTCGGCGTACCCTTTATCAGTTAAATTACATAGTGCACCTTTAAAGTTTTATTTATTTATATTTATTTTACTTTTTACTTTAGTTTTTTTAGTAACTGAAATCCTTGATAAAGTGAATCACAGTAATGGATTCATGTGTGGGCATAAAAATCTTCTAAAACCTTGAAATGCAATACTTATAACTGAATTAATATTAATAATTAAACAACTGTCAG